ACACACAGACACACAGACGCACAGACACACAGGCACACAGATACACGGACACACAGATAGCCTCTCGTCAATATGCGTTTTTCGCGTTGCATTGCTGCAAAAAACGCATAAAAAGGGAGTGCTGGCTTCCTCCATCGTTTCACTTCATCCTGGCTACTTAATCGCTGCTGGTCATCCGATAATTTACTACATTTTTTAAGATAAAATTTATAAACCTGATTCGGGCAGCCACATACTAAATTGAAATGCATCGGCCGTGTGATCACTTCCAGGCGAATTATTTTCAGGAATTTGTGAAACTCAAGGGACATGTTTGAACTGTGGTGACGATCGTTTTTCTTATTACAAATGTCACGGCTTAAATGACTGTTTCACCGGTGAAAAATGCACAGAGGATGGTTTTTGCTGTCCGGTAAGAGTACTCAGCAAAACAGCGCCATCCTCATCGAATCAAGATTTGGGTATGCTTCATGGTATTTTTTGCAATCTCCTGTTGAAGAATACGATCTGCTAATACTGCGTTGCACTAGCGGCAAATATGAACGCGTCATAATTTGCGTTCAAATATTCCCACTATAGCTACAGTCTCTCCTCCTCATCCACTAATCTTTTTACTTGTTATTAGTGCCTGTATTACTCACCAAAAAATTTGAGAAGTTTCTACTTAATGGGGTGACGAACATAAAAAGCAGTAACAAGTCGCGCAGCTCTCACGCGGAAGCTGGAGTATTCGACTCCGCCAGCGAGACAGATCCCTCTACGATTCATTCATTTGTTTCGATGTCAAATTAGTACTGACACGCGCTGCCACCAGTTTCTTTCTGCCTTTCTAATAAAAGCAGCCATCAACAACTTTGTTAGTGCGTGGTTACTGGTGGTACTTGTTACCGCTCGTGTTACTTCCGAGTGCCTCCATTTCTCGTACAAAGCATGTCCGGACATAATCATTTCGCATTTACAAGTCTACCCTATAATTAGCAAAGTGAGGCGCACTTTAAAAACCGGCTCATCTTTGTTCCCAGGCTAATAACAAATTCTGTTTACCCACCCTCAGATTCGGAGCAAACCGAGCAGCAGAATATTTTCGTGTTAACTGGTTTTTGTGGAGTATACAAATTGCAGATTTTGTTGGTGTTCCGGCTCTTAAATATCATACCGAGCAGTTGACCCCATGTCCGGATGGAAGTACTTGGATTCGGCAGTGTGCATCTGATAAGGACTGCATTTTTGGGGACGAAATATGTGCGGACGGAAAATGCTGCTCAGGTCTAAATTATAATTTTTACGACCCTTTCTTCTTACTTCCTACTGCCATTTTC